AAAATGGTTCATGAAATTTTAGTTCACACATAAAGCTAAAGTCCGCCTGCTCTATCAAAAAATGCCCACTGTGGACTACAGTGCGATTTGAGAATAGTTGATGTTGAAAAAAGAAATACCTAATTAGAATACGCAGGAAAATCAACAAAGAGTATTATAACTAAACGAAACTCAGAAATCCAACTTTTACTGTCAATGCAAAACCATCTCAAGACCATGCAGTATCTAAACTAAGTGAAAATTTTGGGAAACTCCTAGAACGTCGAAAATAAAAATCGATTTCGAGATATGATGCACTACAGATTCTAGGGTACTTCGTGAAACTATCATAACTTTTGATCAAAATATTGCTCAGAGTTGGAATTAACCAGTTAAACGTTAGGTTACTTTATAATGAAAGCAATGCAGAAATTTGTGTAGCATTCTTCTCTGCGTAAAGATGCTGTGAATTCAACGTCCGGTGGAAGGGACATTTGCGTGTAACGATGTGAAAATTGAATTTTTTTATCTTGATCTTGTTAGCGTAGATCATTCTGTGATACTCCGCTACACATCTGCAGATGAGTGCATGAACAAAAAAAGATGTAAGTAGTAGTATAGCGCCGTCGTCGATAAATGTGAATGCGTTTTTCTCTGATCCATATAAAAAATCCATCCAAATGCGTTTAAAATACTAAATAAAATTGACACACGTCTAAATTATCTTTAGTTTGTCGAACAGTATTGCATGAGCACGTCTAGACGCGTTAAAGACATTTCTCATTCTCACAAGAACCGTCTAGATGCAACTATTTTTGAACAACAATTCTATGTACGTGTGAGCACATTCTCTATTTAATCAGATTCTCTAAGCGCGTTTGAATGCGTCTTAGAATCAGGAACTGTCTGCACGCATCCTTCAATCAATCGAAAGACACAATGCGCCCGAACACACTTTTCTCTCATCGAGATAAAAAAAGCTCGCGTAGAAGCATTTGTTCTTGATTCGAAAAACGACTTGGGGCACGACGTTTTTGGAAAAATTAAGGAAAACTGCGTCTGCACGTTCGTTTCTATTAAAAATTTTTCCAGTGAGTAAACAATTAAGAAAAAACTCTAGTTAGTATACTGGGCAAAAAATGAAGTTCAGAATAACAATGACAAAACTACAAAAATTCGTGCTATTACACTCGTATGTCCCTTCCAAGAAACATCACGTATCCATGCAGCAAAGTAACATCATTTCAGTCCAGACGTAAACAGCTTATCAGCACAGACCGTGGGTCTAAAGTGTAACTCATCCATTCAAACGTGAAAGACTATAGTGGGACTCTATGAAATCTATGCCACGAGTGTTTACGTTTACATTAATTTGTTTTAATTGGATTAAGACGAATAAAATTTTCAAATTTCCAGCAATTTTTCTCTCTACAAACTTTCACTCCTTATTCTTCCTCTTTCAGGCGAATTCAGGCGAGTTACACAAAAGGGTGTACCGAAGAACTGTAAGCTCTAATGCAGCAGTTATTTCAACTGCAGCTATAATAAAAGTGTCTTCGGGCGTAAAGGGTTAAGCAAGCTGACGTTAGCTGATGCATTTGAGTTGGTGTCTAATCGCTCAATTAAGCGCCTACTCGATCATTCGCTTGAAGCTGGCAAGTGGGCAGTTGCTCGATTTCGGCACAGCAAGCTGTTTGACCCAAAAATCTACGATTTAGTGGACGCTTAAGTTATTTTATAAGCTACATTCCTTGCTTACGCTTTTTCGTCTAGGCTATTGTCAAAGCTAAACAGCACAGGATAAAGATTAGTTTCAACGGCGACGCTGTATCGATGAAACAGCTTCTTTCTCTTACCAGCATATAATTTCTTTAAAACAGCTGTGAATATCATAAGGAAGTAAACTTACGATTAGTATTAAGTGGAAACTGTTGCTGCAGTATTGACAGAGTAAAGGTCACGAATTTTACATAAATTCTTCTTTCTATCAAGTTTATTGTTGCTGTTATCATTGTTTGGCGACGCGATAAAAAAGATTCAAAACTAAATTATACTGACAACATATAAGTACACGTGCTTTGTGTTTTAATGGGGAATTTTTCAACTATTGATTCGTGCAGATAAACTGCCTTATATTTTTGTAAGTGAATTCCAACTTGCCTAAAACTCATTTATACTCATAATGCCTGGTAGGGCAATATCCCTTTAAGACTAATTAGATTTGATGAGAAACATGTTAATGTGAAGTTAGAAATTACACTAACCAACAAAAATATTTTTATATTCTGATCAGATATAGATTTTTTTTATATTTCAATCGAGGTATCGAATTATATCCTGATCAAGATATAATTCTAAACTATATCCCGTTCGGGATATCAAAAAACTTTTGCTGTTAAAAAGGGTATCCAGAACGGGATACAAGCAGTGGCGGATCCGAGAGTCTTTGGTATGCTGGATCTCAGCTTCAGAGCATGGAACCCAGATGAAACTTATTGAGGGTGATATTGAACCCAAATGATGAGCTTTTATCAACAAAATTTTTCGATCGGAGTTTGCGAAAAGAAAATAATTTTTTGGACCCCCACCTAAAAATATGCATTCGTTCAGGAGTTGTAACGTTTTGAATTTTTACGTAAATTTTTGCGACAGGTCTTAAAAATTCAAAACGTTATAACCCCTGAACGGATGCATATTTTTAGGTGAAATTTGAAATCTGTCGATGAAATTCGATGTAGATTACGATTAAATTCTAAAAAAATAGAATATTACCAAAAGCAAAAAAAAATTGAGGAGGCGGCGGTCCCAAAAATTATTTTCTTTTCGTAATGCTGATCATCAGCAACTAGAATAAAAAAACACAAATACACATTTTTCGTTCTGGTTTGATTCCTCCAATTTCTAAATGACGGTTCCCTTTTTCTGCAGACTTTTCTATCGTATATTAGACGAGAAAGTAAAGATATTGACTGATTTCATTCTTTTTTCTAACCGAAAATAAAAATTCACCTTCTACAAATGCAAATAAAGGGGAAGGCCAGTAAGAAAAAAAAAGGATATTTGTCGCTTTCAAGAGAACATTGAACAGGAATTGAAGATGTCAAGTTTCCGGTGGGAACTAGAGCAACCATATCAGTGTTTAAAAAATGAGTATAGTTCAAGAAGGCGGCGCATAGCAATGATGGGTGGTGGATGTAATCAAGAAGTTACTTTCACGTGGCTATGTGACAAAATTAATGATGCACAGGTAGTGGTCTTGAGAGCTTCACCTGGCATGGATTATACCGATTGGATTAAATCACATTGTCCAAATGTCCATTTAGTGGAAACCATACTCACAATGTCAAGAGAGGACGCATATAACACAAATTTAGTTAACACACTCATGCGAGCGGATGTTGTTCTTATCGACGGCGGAGCACAGAGCAACTATATCGATTTTTGGCAGAATACTCCCTTACAAGACGTTTTAAATGCCGCCATATTGAATGGAGTGCCGATTGGAGGAGTCAGTGCTGGATTGGCTATTTTGGGAGATTACATTTTCTCACTTGAAAAAAGATATGGTGTGACTGACCCATTACGATCCTCAGATATTTTGATGAATCCTTATAATCCACAAATAAGAATTCGATAATAATAATAATAATAATTCGTCCATGAGTACTCATATTGGTACTACTAGCAATTTCTGAGTATTATTACTCAGTGAGTACTCAGTTACTCATATGAGTACTCAGGAAATATTCATTCACCATTTTATTTTGCTAAACTGAAACTGTATAAAGAATGTAGAATTTAGTGAAGAAACACAGAATATTTATATTA